GGAAGCTTGCAGAACGTGTGTGGTGGCGCAATGGAATTTGCACCATCTTGCATGTAGGAAATCATGATGCTTATGATGAGCAGTGGCATGAAACAAAGAGACCACTTCTGCTTCCCCCTGCACCGGAGAAGGCTCAACACAACAGCTTTGTTGTAATCACTTCTGTCTTTGAAATCACATTCATGAAACATGGAGGGGGAGTGAGGGCTTAAGTGGCGGGTGGCACTACTCTTGGCGCAAACATGGATTGCGTGACAAATCTCTTGAGTGACTAATTCAAGATATGAGTGATGCATAATGTATACAGAGATGTTCCTGCCATTTTTTGTTTTCTGGAAAGTTAGGAGTAATTATTGGGTGTCTTTGCATGGCTTTGCAGCTGCAGAGAGCAGTGCAGTTGTTTTGAGTCAAACCAGATCCAGTTAGGTAAAATGCTTTAATCCCGCTTACACTGGCGCTATTCTTCGTCCTGACAGCTGCTGATGTCCGCTTGTGCCTCCACCACCCGTGAAAGAATCCAGTGAATCAAAATTGAGTATCTGTCGGCTGGCTCACGGCGTTTTCTCCGTCGGTTGTCACTTCCTTCACCCTCTGAGGAAACGTACAAGTTTCACAGCTCTTCTTTCCTTGCGCAAGATCGCTCTGACATGTACGGCTATACCATTGGGCGCCTTGAGGTTTTTTTTTTGGTCTGCTTTGAGCAGTTATTGTTTGTTGCTCAACTGGGCCAGACAGGCGTCTATAACACATGTCTTAATGCAACATCTGAAGGGTTTAGTAGCTGTTATCAGTGTCTGCTTTTAAGGAGGAGCAGAGCAGACCCCGGGATATCAGGATAAGTGTGAGCTCCAGGTATGCAGACCGCTTCTTATTCATTGAGCTACCAAGAAACCCAGCAGTTTGACTTGCATGTTTTGCAATATTTGATACATTTTCTTTTGAGCTGCTGCTCTCAAAGTTGCTTGACTTCTGTAAAACTTTTCAGCATAAAGGAAGAAGAAGCATTCAGTAATGTGGCGTGCCAGTGCGGTCTGTCACTTGTGATATGCTAAATTCCTCACGAAACACACGATCACCGATACTGTGTAAATATACAAGTCGATCTTCCAGTTCGGTCAGGGCGGTTTAATGTTACACTATCAGTTATTTTCCATTTGGCACACGCAAGTGACTTTATTAAAAGAAAAACGCCCGCATCGCAGTGGCGTCTGCTCAGAGAGCAACACCAGGATGTCTGTGAGGTGTTGCCTTTCATTATGTATCCACGACTATGTAAACATTAGATATGGAAAATAGATGATTTTCATGTGAATGGATGCATAATGTCGCTAGAATTTTATTTGCAAGAAGGCAAGACCTTGAACCGGAGGCTGTTTATCCTCCTCTTCGACGTCTAGTCGTGAAGATTTTCTGAGTATCTCCAGTAAAAGCTGCTCACTACTTGGGAGGGGGGGGGAGGAATCACCCCCCTTCCTCTCATGAGACAAAATAATACCCTCATTGTAATGACGGGGTTTATTGTGTGCAAAGAGTGCTGCGGTGGTCACTTTTTAGGTAAGCTCAGCACGGTTTAATGTGGTGGTACTTTGAAGACTGGTATTACCTTGACGCTGTGCTGACTCCCAAGTATGTTTTATTCAAGGCCTGTCATGAATGTGGTCAGCTGTAAGTGCAAGCATCAGCTCTCAAAAGAGGACAAAAACATCGAAGACAAGAAGCCACATTTTGTCACATTAACTGGAATCTCATGAGTCAAAGAGGCGCATCAGTGAGAAAGATAAATGCAAGCATTTATTGCAAATAAATTGAAACGTGCGTATTTTAGCAATAATGATTATTCTGGTGATTCATTTGTTTTTTTAAAAAACTGCAGATTTTTTTTTATTTAACTTCTTAAACCTTTTTTATACAATGTGAGAAGTGAATAAATTTAATAAATTTTTTTTTAATTAATGAACATTTTATTGCCTAAAATGCGAATGACAGGATTCCTTTAGCGAACGTCTGATCGTCTGCAGCAGAGAAGAAAAAAAGAAAAACTCCTAACATAAACATGTGAAAAGCGCAGCGCTTTCTGCTCGATTTAACATCAATAAGGCGTAGGGCTGATCTGGTGATTTATTAGTTGGATTAACCAGCTTAAAACTGGACAGCAAATGGTGCTTAACGTGATATTTTCTTTTGTAGAAGCAGGGGAAGCTAAACCTAAGTAAATAATTAAATATGCTCTGGGAAGAACGTATTTATAGATGTTTATTTTACATGCTTAAGTGCAAAATGCATAATTGTTTGTTTTTTTTACAGTTTTGGCTTAATTACTGCTCTAAGTATGTTGTTTTTTCAGTAAATGTTCGTTTTTTAGAGCCTGTATATTCCAGTTAACGATTAATCAATTGCTAAATTAGTTGATGATTGTTTCAATACTTGATTCATCACAATTAATTGCTTCAGCGCTAGTGACATGCACTAAGCTAGCATACTTAGCCTAAGCCTAAGTTTGCTAACATCTTAAGACTTCAATCCCAGTCTTAGCCACTGCTAAGACTGGTGAAATGGTGTTTCTCCGTCCTCTTAATGTTTATTTTACACCAAAAAAAAAAAAGAAATCTCAGTTCAGTTCTCATCTGATCAGAAGCTTTTAGCATCATGTAAATGGGACTTCTAACGACTTCCTATAAATGTTGTCATTTCCCTATAAATGGGTTTCTTTAGACTGCAAAACAAAGGGTGCATTCATACCAGCTCTACTTAATCCGTTTTAATTAAACTCCAATTCATTTGCCTGGAAAGTCCAGTTTGTTTTGGGACGTCTGAATGTGGACTTGAACTCTGGCTCTGTCTCGGTTTGGTTTAAGTGAACTCTTGTTTCATTTACAATGCATATCTGAACGCCAACTGGGCCTGAAACCACTCTAAAAGCAGGAAGTGAACAATTTACCCAGGACATTCTGGGTAAATTCAACCTAAATAAACTTGCAATTTAGCGCTAGAGGGAGAAATGACTTGTTGTCTTTAGCCACTTAAGTGTCTCCTTCAGTGGTTTTTGGTGCAGCGCCCCCACAGGTGAGGAGGGGAACAGGTTTTTCAACTGGATCGTTTGACAGTGCAGTGTGAAAATGAACTGCGCCAGATAAAAATGTAAACGTTGCAATTTTGGTCCCACGTAAAACTGAATCTACTGCACTAATGTCCTCTAAGGCCACACTTTTAAGATTTTAATTTGTAAAATCTGTTTCATTTTACATTTATTTGACTGAGCACATCTAGTAAAATGCCGTAAGGTTTATGGTTCTGATGTGATTAAGTGGAAACATATGAATACTTTTGATCCTAGGTACAAATTTCAAACATTGGCTTCAGAGCTGCTTATAATAACAACACAAACGAAACAATACCTTTATAATATTCTCTCAAATCCAGGGTGCGCTCAGAAAAACGGTGCGAATCCTGATCGCTCTCTGTGTAAAATCGCTGCCTGCGAAAGTCTGTGTCTACCTTTATTAGTCAGCAGGGCTGAATGAGCGGTGCTGCACAGTCACCGCCAGCTCCAGTCATGACTGGTACTCCTGCACGTCCAGCACCTGCGCTCAAATTTAATTTCCCCGTGTGCTGTTGACTTTTGAGTGCAGCCCTTATCTGTATCCGACTGATCTAGCCGCAGACTGGTTGTGCTGCAAGCGCTTAGCAATAGGGATTTTTTAAAAAGGAATATTCCTAGAAGATTGGAACAGAGGCTGTTTTGCATACCTGGACCTTTTCTGAAGCAGGTGTGCTGGCGACTGTTGCCACCTACACATGTTGCAGAAAAACTCCCCACTGTGTGTCACTCACAGGCGAAAACAGGGGTAGGGGGAAACACAGCAGTTAAAAATGAGTGAGCTGCGGGGCCTTTGAGGAAAGTTGAGACAATATTGCCCAGATGCGGTTGCAGTTTTGTGTCTGCGTTGACTGGAAGCTTATCTAAAATTCAGTCCAACCAGGTGAGAAAAACGACAGTTCTTCCTGTGATTTCACTTCCTCTCGTTCTTTTTTTTTTTTTTTTTTAATCGTTCGGCCCTCTGCGAGCGACTCGCCCGTTCAGTTTCTGGTGTGAGTAATCCTGCACACACTGCATGACAGATGTTATCTCTGGGCCTCTGCGTATGCGTCACAGGGACTTTGCTTTGAAACCTGGGTTTTGTGTGTGAAATTAAGCGTTTTTTCCTCAGTCACATTTTCTCAACTTGTGATTGGGCTTCATTGAGACGCAGTACTTTCTTGGCTGCTGCAGGTTGGAGCTTTAAAAATGATTAATCAAGCAGCTTGGAAATGTGTTGGACTTTTTCCTTGCAGCGTCACCCATTAACTTCATTTCCCTGCAATGGTTTATACGATGTGCTGATTGCAAAACAAGGAGCAAGCACAATAAAAGTCCTCAATTTTTCCATTATGCTTGCAACTAATGATTATTGTAGTTGTCGATTATTATATTAATTTTAGATACAAAAAAAATCTAATTCTGCAGATTTTTCATTTAACCACTTAAGCCTTTTTTAAAATAAAATATTAGGAACACAGTGAAAAATGCAAATAAACTAATAACTTAATTCCTTTATAAAATAAGAAAATAAACATTTTAAAGCCTAAAATCACATAACACAACTTTCCTTTAAAGTATGTTTGATTATTTGTAGCAAAAAAAAAAAAACGTGTGAAAAGTCATTTTCACTTGATACATCACCAATACAGGACGGATCTGTTGATTATTATTTTTCGATTAATCAGTTCATAATTGGGTAGTAATATGAGATTTTCTTAACCAGAATTTGAAGCTAAATTTTTAAAATCTTTTTTGTGTAGTTTTGGTTGAATTACTGCTCAGTTGCTAACTGGAGTATAATCCAGCCAGCAATTAATCGATTAATATACTAAATGAGTTGACAATTATTACAATAATCGCCTCATAAATCAATAAAAAACACGAAACCCGTTCACCTGTAAGCTGGAGGACGGAGAAAGAGGTTTAGTTTCTGAACTTAAGATATCATCATGCGTCTTTCCCCTCATGCTGCTGATGTAAACAGAAAGTAGTGCAGGAACATTTTGACACTTTGCCCTTTTTTCTGCCCCTCAGGTAACCAAGTTCGTCTGTGGAGCTTTGTACCCCCGCCTCCAGTGCCACTGCTTGTGCCTCGACAGCTCAGCTCTGCCCCCGGCTTTGAAACAAGCGAGAGGCTTCAGAGACCTCCGACTGCATGTCTCAGACCTCCTTCCTGTTCATCCCCGACGTCTTAAAGGTGCTTTGTCACCAGCACGCTTCGTAGTCGCTCTTTCTTCTGGGACAGAGGTGTGACGCTCGTCGCTTGACTGGAAGCGAAGTTGTTACTCGTTCAGAGGGGGGAGGAAGGCCGCTGAACACAGTGCCGCTTTCCCCGGAGATGAAGCTGCAGGCCGTCATGGAGAACCTGCACAGGCAGCAGAGGGCCAAGCTTCTGATGGAGCAGCAGCTACAGCAGCAGGCCATCGCCCAGCACGCCCAGGTCCGCGCCGGCGACGACCCCATGGAGAGCGCCGCCCCCGAGGGCGAGCAGGCACAGATAGCGGCGCTGGCGGCCATGCGAGCCGCCGCCGCCGGGCTGCAGAGGGTGTCGGACAGCCCCATGTCGAAGCGCAGCAGCGGCGGCGAGGAGGAGCGAGACGACGACAACGACGAAGGGGAGGAGCATTACAAGGACATGATGGGCTCTGACGAGGAGGAGCAGATGTAAGTCCATCGATTAGAAAATCTGGATTGTTTTTCACTAGGGATTCCCTGGAGACTGTGTTTCACTGACCATAAAATTTCGCAAATTGGATTTAAAATAAATGACCTTAATGGAAACACGCCAATTCCGAAAAAACTCTGGTTTTAATAGAGTATTGGAAACACTTTTTTTCACATCACACAAGTAATGAGATGAACAGATGGATGTTACTACTGGCAGAAAGGACGAAGAAGACGACAGGAAGACGATTTATCACGAGAACAAACTTATTCACGTGATTTTAATTGCATTTCCTATTTAACCAAAACACCGCAATTGCAAAATGCAGATTTTTTTTTACATTAGTGGAATATCAAAGTTTTCTGCACATTTGTAAGTGATGACATCATGCCCACGGCCACCATCTTGTTTCACAAGCGTGTTTTACGTCTTCTGTTTATTTCAACTCTAAAATACTGAATAGACTGAATATTAGGACCAGGCTAAGAGTTTTTTTTTTTTTATTAAAAGAATAAAGTCATAATATTACCAGAATACCGTTGTAATGTTAGGAGAATAAAGTGGACATTTTATTTGAAAACCGAAATGTATATATAAAAAATCTAAGATGAGGAATGTTGAGTTTCTTCATTTTACAGATACTTAATATTTAATAAATACCTAAATATATTTTACACATATATAGCAGGACTTTGAAAGGATTGAGCAATAAATGTTTCTATTTAGAAGAAAAGAAGCAAACAAACTGAGCTGCTCATGTCAGATATTAGTAACTAACCTTTTTTCTTGGTAAAATATATTTTTTCTTGTTAATTTGCATTCCTTTCCATTATTCTTCTTATTCTTATTCATCACCATCTTCAATAACTCTGAAGAACCTAAATCGATGAGTTACAACAAAATTTTATTTCCCTTTGGGATTAATAAAGTATTTTTGAATTTATTCTGATAATATTACGCTCACACATTTCTGAGATTTTATTTTTAGCCCATTTCGCCCAGCTCCTAAAAATGTGACTCTACCTTTTTATTCCTCACGTCAGCAAACGGAAATGGGACGAGGGAGACTTTGAAAGCGACATGGACGAAGACTTTGAGGACGACCTGGCAGAGGAGGGGCTGCCGACCGGCCACGACGCCGTGGCTCCCGGGAAGGGCATCCTGCTGCTGCCCCACCGCCAGCTGCACCCGCACTCCCAGCTGCTGAAGGTCCGGCCCAACGTGGAGCAGGAGCCCCGCGTCGCCATCATGCCTCCCCACGCTCCACACAGCCACCTGGGCGCGCAGGACCACGGGGAATGGACCTACGAGGAGCAGTTCAGACAGGTGAGACTGTTTGTTTTTTTTTTACAGATAAATCTTTATTTCTCACAACACCAGAGGGAAGAAACACGCTGCCTCCACAAACAAATGTTTTTTGTTGTTGTCGTTTACAGAGATTGAGCTTTAACTCATCTGTTGTTTGAATATCAAGCACATAAATCTATATGCAGAAGGAGATTTTAATTAGTTTAAGTTATATTTCACATTACATGAGGTCCAATAAAAATAATTGATGAAACTAGCAATTAGCAATCATCCAGCAACAGTTATTATTTTGCTGGATGATAAATTGTCCCAGAAGTTATTGCAATAAACAATAATGTTGTTCTTTTGACACCATTTAGAAATAATATAATGGTTATGACATGATAATGGAAGTACTCCCAGTCAAAGATGATTAAACTTTAATTTCTAACATTTAACGCTAAAACTGGAAGAAATATTCAAAATAAATACACAAACCAACCAAAAAAAAGCAAATAAAATGAATTATAAAGTCTCTGCAAACAAAATTGTCCTTTTTATAAGGGGGCTAGTTGAGACTAAAGCATTAGACTGAAGAGTTTAGTCGTTCAGGTTTTGGTAAAACGAGAAAAAGACGGGAGAAATTGATTTTAATTTATCACACAATTAATTAATTTATTGCTTATTGCAAAGGGTTAGCTGAAGCAAACAAAACGACTCCACTAATTAACAAAATACAGACAATCTGAAGTTTCTCTAGTGAGAAATCGAAGGATTATTCTTTTCCTCTTCCGTTGGTGGAGATTGCCTGTTTCTCCGTGGTCTGGATGCCACTTCGATCCGTCGCTTTGTCTCCCGTCTGTCTCGTCTTCTCAGCTCTCAACAGACCGTTGCGTCTGAGAGGCCCGTCAACATTTTTCCAGCCCATTCACCGCATTCGGTTGGTTTCAGGTTTCTCAGTGAGATAAACCTGCAGATGTTATTTAAAATGATCAGTAACGCCGTGGACGAAGAGACCGGTTTCGTTCGGGAGTAGATTGGAGGTTGAATTAGGAAGTTTGACGCCATCTTGGAGTATTTTTGTGTTCACTTTTGAACAGAGTGAAGGTGGAAGCCTGTATTTAGTCACCAGGGATGTGCAGATGTGCCACAACTGTCCTCCGTTCTCCTCGCATTGAACCTGCTCGGACTCTCTCAGCTGCACATGATGTAATCTGAACAGGCTGGGAAATCAACAGCTAAAAAGCACATGTCATCACCAAGGTTACTACAGCTAACTAAAACTAGCAAAATCTGAAACTGACACAGAGTTTTCCTTAACTGAGATAAATAAAAACAGTAATTAATGAAGGAAAACTATAACTAACTCGAACTATATTGTGTGTTTATAAAACTAACTAAAACATACTGAAATTATAGATACAATATCCTTTGTTTTCATGTTTATTAGTCTGTTTATTAGCATTTTGAGCTAATATTGATTTGTCACAAACAGTTTACATCAGCTGTTGGCACTCTGTATGCCTCCTATCTTTAATCTGCAAAAATGGCGATGACAAAACTTGGGATAAAACTCCAAATAAAATCTGTTGGTTGTTCAGAAATAATTGAGAACATTTTTTGAAAATGGTTTCTTCTGTATCATATTCATGACTGAATCTACATAATCACAATTCATTGATCAAAAAACTAAAACTACTGCTATGACTAATGAACCAAAACTAAATCTAATCAATATTTAACTAATAAACACTAGCAAATGCACTCTAAAAACTAATTAAAACTAACTGGATTATACAAACACACCTTCAAAACTAAATAAAACTAAACTGTAGTGAAAAGCCCAAAGCTAAACTAACCCTGGTTAACACCTGACCCTGCGTTAAAGGTCCTGGTCTAAACAAATTACTTTTTCAACATATTTACTCTAGGCTTCGATTTAGCTTTAACTAAACTGATATTGACTAACGCTAGTATTCCCCTGAAAATTTTTATACAATTTTTCATTTTGCTTAATTGCTGAACCTGTGTTTACTTCAAAAACAAACTGAAAACAGAATAAAACAGATTGATTAAGCATTGAAATTAAGATAGCTTCTTTCTTTCACTGTGATACTAAATACAGGCTTAGATGTGGCTTTAACTAACCTAATACTGACTAAAACGATTATTCCCCTCAAAATTTAATACATTTTTTCAGTTTTTGATTTAACAAAACTGTATTCACTTCAAAAACAAACTGAAAAAAAGAATAAAATAGATTGAATAAGCGTTAAAAAAGATAAATTTCTACTGAGTTGCACCAGGAGTGGAGTCTAAACGTTATTCCTGCCTGAGTTGAGCAGATTGAGGCGAGAGTGGAAGTGGGGGAGGGTCGGTCAGGGAGCATTTTAACCGCTTTAGCGTGCAGGAGTTTACTGTAAACATGCCAGTGGGCGGCTGGATATTATGAGGGAGGCCTGAGTGAAACAAGACAGGCTGTTTACATGGGAAGACCAAAGTCTGTCAGCGGCTCGGCTCAGATCAGAGACTGCATGCTGTCAGTTAAAACAGAAATCTAACCTCAGTTCAGATACAAAAAAAACTTCCACTGTTTTATAAATATGATATGAACTGGAACGGAATCAATTTTTTTCCTCTGGAAACTGCATAAAGTCTTATCAGGAGGCTGACCTTTGCAGTGTAAAGCAATCATTGGAGTTATAGATGTACTTTTTAGTGTCCTTGGTTATAGTTTATAAAACAGATCTAGTAAACATGCCTCCACTTCAGAGCTGAAGCCAGTTTTTCATATATATATATATATATAGAGAGAGAGAGAGAGAGAGAGAGAGAGAGAGAGAGAGAGACACACATTGCAATTACGTCACGTAATCATTCGAGGCGCCATGATGGACGTGGGAAGGGAGGGACGGGAGTATTGAACAGAGCGACGGAAATTGTTTTCCCCAAGTTGCTTTTGCCAGTTTATTCATGGTTTCTACTTGTTCAAGTTGAGCTAATTTATCTGTGAACGTAACACACCTGGTTGGGGCCCACAGACGGCGGTATTTACAGAAGCTAGAAACAGCTAGCTTACAAACCGACCCATACCTTGTCCCTCCTGACATGTTAATCGAATTACCGGCTTTGTCTGAATTCAGACCACAGGATTTATATCACTATGTCATAAACAGTGTTTCCCCTTACACCGAAGCAATATTAAAAACGTACAAAAAAACTAATGCTAACCAGTTTTTCCGTACATGCTAGGCTACATGACAATGCATCATTGTCTCCATGGTTACTGACGTTACACACTTACCTTCTCCATAAAGCGAATTTTGATATCTTTCTAATCATACTTACTTATAAAGTATATGAACGTTAATCTTCATACCTTGTAAAAGTGTTTGCTGCTAATCCGCGGTTACACCGAGGGCTGACAGTCATTAGATTGACGGCTGCTGTCCATCGCCGCTCCCGCATCTTTCCTCGTTGAAAGTTATTCAGTAAAATGACACGTTTGGTTTGCATCCTTGTCGGTTTGTGCAGCCGATACGGCAGCATCCTCATACCATTTTTAAAGTGAAATCAGCGAAATAAAAGTGATATTAGTCTGGCTGTTTTAGACTAGCTGTAAAGGAGCGCGTTGGTTGTTTTAACGTCCGTCATGGCGGAGTGGGCGGAGCCCTGGAAAGCGTGACGTCACTTGCAAAGGGTCAATATAACTACGCTTATACAGCTCTGGAAAAAATTAGAAGACCACTTAAAATTATCATTTTCTCTGTACTTTTTATAGGTATATGATTATTTGAGGTCTGAAAGCACTGCATCTTTTTCATTATTTTGACCATTTCTCATTTTCTGCAAATAAATACTAAATTTTTGCTTGGAATATCAGAGACATGTTGTCAGTACTTCATAAAATAAAAGAACAATGTTAAGTTTACACAAACGTATACCTAAAAAAGTAAATTCAGAGAAACTGATCATTTTAAGTGGTCTCTTAATTTCCTCCAGAGCTGTATATGTATATATATATAAATGTGTTTGTGTGGCACGGACTGAGCCACCATTTTACGCAGCAGCTTATTACATAATGGAAGCCGCCACTGAAATGCAAACACAATCATGGCCTGTTGCAATATTTCCAACCATAAAACACACTCATCAGTGTGAGAAACGGGCCGGTCTCGTCTCCGACGTTTCTCAACTCTTTTCAGCTCTGACACGGTCCGCGTGTCGCAGGCGGATTATCTCGGCCACGTTGCACGCAGCCTTCATTATCAAGCCCTAACTATAGATTCTGTAATTTAAGGCCTATTTTTTTTGTAATTACAGGCTGTGGAATATAACTCCCCTAAAACCTATACTCTGCTTCTGAAAATAACCCACCCCTCCCTGTGTGAGTGCCCTGACAGGGCATTCTCAGATTTCATGTGGCAGGTACAACATACTGGGCAATTTTATCGTCATGCGTCACTCGGCTGTGGATTAGATTTGCTTTTAACGCATCTGACACCTAATCATGTTGGTTGTTTATTAATCTATAGATAATTAAGGCTTGCATTGTATTTATCTTACCATAGATGAAGAGAAAATTGATCATGAAAGAAAAACAATCCAGTATTTTAGAAAGACATTGCTATTTCTGGCCTTGGATGATTATAGCAATAAGCTGTAATTGCAGTTATAGCCTGTTATAATAACTGCCTCCTGATAATTCAAACTGTCTTGCTTTGTATACCCTAGATTGCATATTTATTTAGCTTCTTCTTTTTCTTCTCAACCTTACATTTGTGGTTTCTTCATTGCCTTTTATTGGTAGATATATAAACCATCATCTTGCAGTTTTTTTTTATTATTATTATTATATCTCACGACTCTGCCTGGTCTTGGTTGTTGTGAAATATCAAAAGTGATGAAGCAGAAAATTTGTAGCTGCTGTTATGTGTGAAGCAGCGAACACACGGTAATCGTCTGCACCAGAAAAACAGTGCAATAAAAGTAATTATATAACAGCTATCATCTAAAAAGGTTCTGCCTTCAGTTTTCAA